AAAATGTGATATTCATAAATTTTTGGGTGTTGTAGGTTTATCACATTGTTTATAAACATATCCACAAATGAGAAGCTTTAAGCTTTTTAATGAGATGGGTGAATGAAATTGCTCTTGGCCGCCCCCTACTGGTCATGCTTAATGCCGGGGCAGATTCTCTGTCATAAGAAGTTTATAGTCTTTCAGTTAATTTACTCTATGGAAGTGGCTGTGCTAGACAAATTTTGCAGGGGGGGGGAGTTAGGGTGGGGCCAGTGTTTTTTCATTGGGCCACATAGAAAAGGAATAAAAACAAAACAAGGCTATATATCATAGTTTAATATATCAAGAGAGCCAACAAGCCACTCAGAGCTCTGTAGAACCTGATTAAGCAGATCTCATTGTGATCCTATTCCAATACACCTGAAGCTAAAAGTGCAACAGCTTAATTTCTAACTTATTGTAAATTATTTTGTAAATATAAAACATGCATCCATCCATTTTCTGTCAAGCATATCCCTGCTGCGGTCACGAGGGGGGCTGGTGCCTATCGCAGGGCAAAATATAAACCTTTAATAAAAAACAAAACAAAAAATGTTTTTAAGTTACGGATTCTGTGCAATGTACAATTTTTTTGTCCTCAGTAAAGGCGCCATAACAGGTCAAGACGTAGAATTTCTACAGGGGCACTGGCCCCCTTGGGCCCCTGTGTAGAGCCGCCGTGTTCAATGGGCTCCACAGGAATCCACAGAATAAACTCAAAATTTTTTCCCCCAACCGTTTTGATTTTAGTGCTTTAAAAGATATGTACAAAATATATATTTTAAATTAATCTATGATGGAATTTCAGTCAAAAAAACAAAAAATATATATTTCTACTGGATATTTGATATTTGTTGGACCAATGGAACATTTTCCCTTTGAGGAACACCTTTATTAAAAACCAAATGCTATCTAAAAAAAAAAAAAAATTAAATACTAGCAAAATTTAAACATTAATTATAACAATCGATAAGACTGAATTCCTTAGAATATCAAACAACAAAAAGCTAACACAACTTTAAGTTTTTCTGCAACCTTTTCTTAGCTACTTTTTCAATCCCCACTAAAAAAGCCTTCAGGAATGCAGATGTTCCTTTTAATGGAAGGACTCCTGGACCCATCTAAAAAAATGAAGAAAAAAAACCCACCTGAAATGACCATGTGATCCAATGGAACCTGTTGGATTAAGTGTCTGAAACCTGGAACTATATAACGGATGTTTGGAATACCTTAAAGAGACCCTTAAAAAAGGACCCCCACACGCCCTACAGGGTCTGACACAGACAACACATTTCACCTGGACGCCCCAGCTCTGCTCGGATCCTCTTCTCCCACCGTCCAGCCTGCTCTTCAACATCAAAGCATTCCTGGTGTGGAAACGGCAGCGCAGGGTGGGCCGCTCATAACCTCTGCAGTAAATTAAGGAGAAAAGGCAAATAAAGCTGCACCTGCAACCCTGACGTCTTCACCTTCAGCACATGGAGTATCAGTTAGGAGTCATCATCTGGAGATAAAAAAAAGGAGGAAAACATGAGAAGCAATGCTGTTTAGGAGAGAGGAGATTGCTTTTCCTTTAAACATCAAGCCCAGGCATCTAGAGAGTAAAGCCAGGGGATAGACAATGAAATAGCACATTATAAAAGCACTTAATTAATATCTGTAAAATATGAAAATAATTTCCAAAATGATACAATAAAAATATTTTTTATTAAGACATACATTATTTATATATAAAAATAGAATTCATTATCATTTCTAAATATAAGAGGCCAAAATGAAATCTTTACGGTGAAGAAAAAACAAAAAACACTTTCATTTTTTTAATGGCAGTTCCTCTGTGACCCAATCTCAAAATGCCTCCATGTTCTCCTTTTTCACTTCACATCGGCCATTAATTTCCCACTGCGGACAAAAGGTTGGCGGCCCTGTCATGTTTCATCTTTCGCTCCGTTCCCACAGTAGTCAGTCGACTCTGGGTAAATACGTTTTCTCTTCTGTTATCTGTCAGTGAGTCTGACTAAAAGTCAGCAAAATGCAAACAAAGAGACATTCCTTTGTCTTTAAGAGTCTCAGGTCACACCCGGTGATACAGGAGCTAAAGACGATTTGTCCAACATTTGTGGCTCTCAGTTAAATATGTTGATATGTCTGGATTAGATTGATTGTAATGCGTTTGGGAGTTTGAGATAGAAACCAATGGAGTTTAAGGTGGGACTGTCACAGGTTGGCTTTTATTCCACTATTATTTACAGTAAGTAACTCCTCTCTTTGCTGATGTAGGCTTTTTTTTCTTTTAGATCCTTTGTGTGATTGTTGTGAAAACAGTATAATCGCCCTCTGTAGTGCCTACCAGGAGGACAAACTTCAACAACCCGCAGGACGCAGGTCACCTTTTTACCTGCTCTGTCACTGGACTGATCCAGCATTTCAACCAGGATACCTTCTAATCAGTGTTCCTCACTGCAGAGTGCCTCAGAAACTACCTTACTGCACAATTCAAAATTAATATATCATTTAAACACACAAAACATAAGGGCCAAAAAGTATAGAAATTATAACACCTATTCCCCTTTAAATAATACTAAAATTCCATAATTTATCATCTTAGGCATTAAAAATTGCCCCTTATATATTATATATCTGATAATCCACCAACATGAGTTTTTCTTTTTAAGAAGAAACACCCATTGAGATCCCTCCCTGCACCTACTTTGGGTTTTCTGTGAAGAAATAATTAAAAACACAAAATGCATCTTTTGGGGAATCAAAGAACAATATTAGTGGGAAAAAATAGCAGGAATAGTCAGCCTTAATATTAATACTTATCAAAAAAGTGGATTTAGAAATCAGTACCAAAGAGAGAGGGATATTATTTTGGGTATGTTGCAAATGAAGACCAAACCTTATAATAAAGGTAAGAGGGGAAATAAGCCTGGGAGGATTGGGGATTTGTGGCTGTAAATTAGGGAAGATCTTTTGGTAAACAGGACAGTTCTGACCCCCTTAGAAAACTCAACACATACATATTATCCTCTGAATGATTAATATATCTGTTTGTTAAAGCTCTTTGTCTGCAGTATTCCTTTTGTTGCACAAGAACAAAATAGCAGACATCTGCACGCATATGTTGATCCATTTAGCGGAATGTTTTTTTGTTTTAACTCATTCTTTGTTTCTATAAACATCTCATTTGAAGCAATGCTAAAATAAATGACTCAATGCAATTTATTATTACTATTATTCAATTAGCATAAATGCCAAGGTGAGTAGAATGTTCACGGCTAGTGATGTCAAAAAAATCACAAATCAGTTTTATATAAGTTTTATTAACCTGTAATGTAAGTTTTTTTATATGGATAATGCAATAAATTAGAGAACAAGAGTTTGATTTTCATAAAAACAAAAGAAAACTGTCATACAGTGGTGGTGATAGGAGGTTAGAAATAATTAACTGTTTAATGACCTTTGAGAACACAGTTATTACCAAAAATATTGTTTTGGAAACTGTACATGAAGCTTGTTTTGCAGAGTGTGTTGTAACTGGTGTTTTGGTTTGAGTTCTCCAGTTTACATCCTGGATATTAACATGAGGGCTTTCAACATACAACTTTACCTCTATTTGTTTTTATTGTTTTTCTCCTCGGGTTGACCTATGGACAGTTAAACTGGCAATGAACGAGATTTTAAATATTTTATATCAGTATGGAACTGTACTAGACGGTAATGACACTGGATTTATTTAAAGCTTCTTAAGCCCATGTTTTTCAATGAAAAATAACACATTAATTCAGACTAATATGTATTGATTAATCAAAAATTAAAGAGCTTTTAAAACCCATTTTCAGATTTAAGAAATCGTGTTTTTAATTGTGACAAAAAATGTTCTTTGAAGGTTTGTTGGCAGCAGATCCACCCTATATTGAAACTTAGATTGACTGTGATCCTGCTCCCATTAAACAGCAGCTTCTCTAGGAAATTCATGATTTAAATTTCAGCTTTCCCCTGTCAGATGTGCCCATGGGCAAGGCACTTAACCCACAAGTAGTCTACTGATCCACGTGTGTAAAGGCAAATGGGTCGGTGTGGTCCTAGTGTAAAGCAGGGGAGGAAAAGCACTTCAGTCAATTTATAAATATGAAAACAAATGTCTATGGTCTTTATCAAAGCAGTTAATTATAGAATAACATGCTATAATTAAATTATAGAATGACATGCTATAAATCAAGAGAAACATGAAGATAATTTTTTTTTATATATTTGGATAATACAGAAAAACCCACAAAACTGAGCATTAAATAAATTGTAACTGATTGAGCTGCAATAAAACTATATCTGCCTCTATAGTTTCTAGTTGTTTTTTCCTAATTCAGTAATAACACTTTTATACTTTAATAATTACTTTTTAATTCATATTTTCATCCTTAGTTTCAATCCAAAAAGTGATCTAAGCAGAATATTGTCTTTCAAATCTGAGTGACAAAAAGCATTTTATAGGGGGAAAAAAATCACTGATGTAGTGTCAAAATAATGTAGAATAAAGCACAAAATGCAATTTTTCCTATTTCGTTAGCTACAAAAAGCTCAAAAGACAATGTTTAATCAACCCCCTATACAATAGAGGACAGCTAACACACATATAGAGCCAAATTATATTTCCCCTGTTTAAATATCTTCTTTATCTTTAAAATAAATTGGGGAAAAAAATATATGCAACAATGATTAATTCGTGTTCTGTATAGCAACACTGTGAAACAATGAAGAAATACACTTTTTATATAACTTTTTCTTTTGATTACTTTTTTATTCTAAATCATTGCTTTAATTGAAACTACAGCTCGCTGTTCCCGTCTCCAGTCTTTAGCAGGACTGCCCGCCCAAAAAAAGGCTGAAGCGCAATCCTATTGGTCGAGAGGGGTTTGGAAACAGCCAATCAGAGTGCAGGAAACTCAGCCCCGAGCGGTTCATATGAGCGTCCATCCTGAGTGTCTGCTTCAGAGCAAAGTTGGACGTGTTCTTGCCTCGACCCTCATTTATCCGCTCAATTAACGACTAATTGGCCTTCAAAGCTGGAGCCTGGGCGGCGCGTGGCCTTCATCAGAACCCCGGACCGCTGGAGGTGAGCACAACCGCTTTTCTTTTAGCAGGGTTTTAAACAGTCCAGATATCGTAAGCATTGACTTTTGTCCAAATTAGTCCTTAAGAATAATGTTTTAGTTACAAAAGGATGATAAAACTTTCGGCTGAGTAGTTTTTTTCTTTATTTGAGAATGCTAATAAGCTTTACATATGGTGTGTGTTGCGGTTTTATTTGTATTACTAACTGTTTATTTAAGGTTTGAAACTTATAGGGCCTAATTGACCGGGAAGTTATAAATTAAAAGATTAATAAAGCTGTCTTTAGTAATAAATAGTAAAAAAAAAAAAAAAAAAACAGTTTTAGAAAAATATTCTGTAGCTTACAAAATTGTATTCTCAGAATTAAATATCAGTTTGTCCAATTTGTTAAATTAATTTTGCATAATTATATTAAATTAATAATCACATTAATGGATTAACTTTATGCTATCTGGAATCCTACTGATGTTTAAATTTTTTTAATGGTTATAACAATGCTACTATTTCTATATTTTTAACAGAAAATAATATTGTCACCCAGATGGCATTTACATTAGACTTGGATGAATATTACTATAAAAAAAAAAAAGATTGATTATCATAATTTGAGATGTAAAGCTTTTAAAGAATCACTTTGTTTTTTTTACAGAACAAAAAACTGCGTTTAAAACTGTGGGAAACGACTAAAGGCAGACATGTCGGGTTGCGAGTTTGAAATCGACGTGGAGAGCCTGGAGGCTGAAAGCGACGACCTGCCGGAGGATTCCTCCTCCTGCTGCAGCCGGCCGGGCTCCGCGCCGCTCGGCGCTGCCGCCTCAGAGGACGACGGGGACGGAGGGAAGAGCGACGGGAAGCCCGGCCCCAGCGGCCTGAGCTCGGGCGACCAGAGGAAGCTGAGCCGCACTCCGAAATGCGCTCGCTGCCGCAACCACGGAGTGGTGTCCTGCCTGAAAGGCCACAAGCGTTTCTGCCGGTGGAGGGACTGCCAGTGCGCCAACTGCCTGCTGGTGGTGGAGAGGCAGCGGGTGATGGCAGCGCAGGTAGCCCTGAGGAGGCAGCAGGCCACCGAGGTAAGCCAGATTATCAGCAATAGCTGCTTTATTAACTTCCTCCTGTTTCCTTTGATTGCATTTCAAGGAAGGAGATAAGTTCAGTCAGGGATACTCAGGGTTGAGTAAACACAGTCAAATCTAGTCTCAGAGTTTGCATAAGGAAACATTCTCAGTCCTTCACAAAGAAGCTTTCCACATAATAGCCCTACAAAATCTACTTCTGTGGCTTTGGAGCTCCTTCCGTCGAAAATAGCTGAAAAACCTTTAAGTATTCACTTCAATTATTTTTATTTAAACATTAGAAACAACCGTCATCTATAATTAAGGTATAATAAACTAAGGGGTAGTCATAATATTCGCTTAAACCCTGCATTTGAATTTGGTTATTTCACCACCAATCTGACCCAACCACCTTTAAAACTCTTGCAAATATCTCGATTTTCGCTTTCATTTAGGAATCAGGTAACTTATGCACCATGTCACACTCTGAAAGAGTTTATTGTCCCACTGTGGGTGAATTCTGATGTGACTGCAGCAAAAACAAGTAGACCGATGACATAAAAAAGGACAGCTTGCATGTAATACCTGGTTTATATTTGATGTTCCATGTATTCTGCATGCTAGAGAGAGAAGAAACGGCTCCGTTAATCATAAAACAAAACCTACTTAAAATATTTGACACTTTTATCTCATTTTCCTGTTCTTTTGATTTCCAGTTACTCTAAATTTCAACCATTTGTATGAATTTATTGCATTTGCCTAATGAATTTGTTTACATAGCCGTTACTTTTTTACGGGGTGAAATATTACATTAATATAGTGAAGTATTAAAATGTGTGCTGTCTTTGCATCAGTGCAAAAAAACAGAACCAAAAAAAGAACAAAACTTTCTGCTGAAACCAACTTGTGTGAAAATCTCAACAAATCAGTTAGAAAAGTGATTTGTCTTCCTGCAGGTGTGTAAAGCCCTACACACCCCTAACTTGGTATTACATCAGCTCATTCATTATTCTTTTTTCATTTGTCAAAGACATTTGAAGTGTTTCCTTAGCCTTAAAAAATCCATCTTTGTTGATTTAATTTTAAAAAATATTTGCCTTTGTGTTTAAGGCTTTAGCTTTTCTTGTCTTTTAATTTTTTTAGGGTAGTGGCATGAAATAGCTTAAATACATCTGAATAGCTTTTAGAATATTTCAGAGCTGCACCTGATTTGAAAAGCAAACAAGTACACAAAAATGTTCTATTAGTTCAGATCCTCTTGAAGCAAATTAACCCTGATGGTGAGAATTTTAAGGGTGCTTGTTAACTCTAGAACAGATTGAACATCTGAGAACAAGGGATTGTTATGCTTTTTATAAGTTTATCAATAACATGTTTAATTTTCTCCCATAATTCCAAGAATTAAATGTAGGTTTGCTTTGAAGGTTTAATATGATAATCGTGGGTCATGAATGATGCTAATCTCAATCTGGTATTCTGGGCAAAATCAGTAAAAGAAATGGTCCTAATTCACTTGATTTTCATTCCTCTTAAACTACCCACCTTTATTTATTTGTCACATTAAATATGCACTTATGCCGCTTAGAAACTTCTTTAATATCAGTGACACATATATTTTGTCTGTATTTGCTGTAAATGCTTCAAGCTGCTTTAAATTGTATAATTTTATTTAATGTTTTTTCGTTTTAGTTGGATTTTTTAACCTTTAGATGTTGTAAATATGTTTATTGCAATTATTAGAATGTTGGATCATCTTTAAAAGCAAATAAAATGCAAAATGTACACTTTAGGGTTAGTCTTGTTCTCTCTGATTTACCTTCTGATCTTATTAAAAGCCTTAGAAAAATGTGCTAAAATCTTATATTTCCTTTATGTTATCGTAGAGCTCGGTTTAAATTGTCCAAACACACAATCTGAGGTCATCTGCAACAAATCAGTTATTGCTTAAGAATAAAGAAAAACATCCTGACAGCAGGATTTCATGGTGTTTTCTTTTCTTTTCCCTGTGTGTTAGGATAAGAAAGGGATTTCTGGGAAACAAATTCCAGCGGAGAGAAGGATTTATCAGCGGCACATTCGGCCCTCTACAATGCTAGCCAAAAGCATCCTTGAAGGTAAGGCATCAGAATGAAACGCTTTCTTTGCACAGTTTGTTTCTGAGTCCCTCTTTATTCTCGGGGGGCCTTTCCTTGAGCAGCCTGACCCTTGTTAGTAAAGTTTCTCCTCTGCTGCAACATGAGCCCAGCTTTATTCACAGTCTAATAGTTTGACCTATCAACAGTTTCAGTTTCTTTTAAAAAGCTAATGTGGTTTGATGCTTTTTTGTTTTTCCACAGGATACCGTCCAGTACAGCCTGAGTCATTCTTGGCAGCCAACGCCTCCCTTCCTCCACCACTGAGCGACCGAATGAGGAAGAGGAGGGCTTTTGCCGACAAAGAGCTGGAGACCATCATGCTTGAGCGCGAGTACAAAGAGCGAGAGTTGATGGAAAACAGCCAGGCGGCCCCCGGCCCGCTCCTCTTCCCCGGCGGCATGGTCCACCATGCCGCCGAGTACAGCTCCTACAAGACGGCCTTTTCTCCAACAGCTCAGGTCGAGCACCAGCCCAAAGAGCGCTGTGGCTTCCTCGGCTCCAGCTGTCTAGATCTGCCAGCGCAGTATCCCAGCAGCTCGGCCAACGTCGAGTTAATCTCCTCCAACGTCAGCGTGGCCACCACCTACCGCCATTACCCACTCCACCCATCAAGAGGCAGCTTCATGATGTGGCCCCGTGGCGCAGCCAACCTGGGTGACGCTTTACTCTACCAGCAGTGCCTGTTTAATGCCACAACGGTGCAAAATATGAAGCCAGGCGCCGTGTGGGAGCCCAAAGTGATGCCTGCTGAGAGCCAGCCGCCGGAGCAAGAGGCCGCGGCTGCACTGGCTGCTAAACTGGAGGGATCCCGAGCAGCTGCCCAGCAGGACTCATTGGTCCTCCATCGGCCAGATCCCAAACCTCCTAGTGTCTCCCAAGCGGGGCCGAAGGAGTGCTCAGCCTTCTCTCCTCCGAAGAGGAGCTTCGGACACTCCTTCCCCAACAGCAATCATTCCCACAACTCAAAGCTGAGCAAGGACAATGCTAAACTTTCCATGAAACTCGACTCCTTCCACAACCTCATCCAGCACTCGCTGGCTGAGAAAAGCAGCGGCGGATCTGGGCAGGAGATCAGAGCTCCGTACTGCAAGGAGCTCCTTGAAGAAGCTGCCCGAAAGTTCAGGGAGGGGAATAACAAAGACATTCAGGCTGGAAAGGCCACAGAGAGATACGGCAAGGACTTTTCGACCAAACCTGTGGGGAACAAGATGGCGTCTCGCGAGTCCCTTTCCTTTTCCGTGGAAGCCATACTGAAGCGACCCACACCGGCCGTGAGCCGAGCATTCCATTAACTGTGATCAGGATCCCTTTTCTTGCACTACGATATGTTTTCAGGCTCAAATGAAAAAACGCAGGCACTGCAATACAAAGACATAAAAATCAATCAGTGTGAAATATGTTTCTCCTTGTAAGATAAATGTACAGGATATTATATTTTACATGTGCATGTTTTATTAATGTTATTGTGTAGAGTATTTAAGCATTATCCAATGTTTATAGTTTCTAATTTCAATAAACTATAATACTGTGAAAAAGATCTCAAGATTGAATTTGAATTTTCCTTCTAATGATTTTAACTTCCTTTTTTTTGGTGTAAATATTAAGGATCTCTAATTTTGCCAAGGGCATTCAATATGAATAAAAACAAGTGTTAAACAATAGAATTACAACAGTTATTAAATCAAAATAAATGTTTCCAACATAATTGTCCTTTAGATGTGATGTAAAACTAAGTATAAAGATAAATAAAATTATTGAATTAAAAGTAAAACTCAATGAACTGATGCAAAAACGTTGAGATGACCTGCTTAACTGGAAATAAAGGTAGACTGATAATAGACCTTTTAATTTTTTTAATCAAGAATTTTGCATTTTATTATACAGTTTCAACAGGATTATTAAAAGAATCCCAGCAGAGAATGAACCGTCTTTCCACCCTTGAAAACTTGTAGGAAACAAAAAGCAGAAGCGTTTTAAATGTGATTCATTAAGTTGTCACAGGAAATTAAGATCCTACAACACCAGCAGCTAATAATGTAGCCATGCTGAAATCATTAATGGGGTGTTATACGGATCGCTTTTATTCACAAACAACACGCAGATTATTAAGGCAACATGGAGTGGATGTGGATTAACCGCTCTTCAGGGGTTTGAAATGTGACACGGAGCCATAAATCTGCAGGGCAGCATCACCTCATCTGCTCAAGATGTGTGTCTGCGCTCATTCCTTCTTCAGTTATGGCCTCTCCCTCTCAGTTCGTTGAAAGACAGCTCCAAACACAGGTTTCACTTGAGCTGGTGAACACTGATCCGTGCAACAATGAACAAGTCAGAAGGCTTAAAAAAAAAAAAACGTCACTAATCTCTTGTTTCTGCCATGAATGTTCGCATTTCACCAGCGTGACTCTTTCATGAGAGCTGGGTTTTTCTGCAGCTTTTTCTCTGTTGTGTTAACTCTTAAGCCAGCTGAGAGAAACCATGACAGGGGAGATTAGGTATGAGTGACTTTTTTAAAGATTTGACCTCCTGATAACATCTTTTAGTGTCAGAAGTATTGTGACGTCACTTAAAGCAGTTTTAGTTGATTCTATTTAAAGTGTTGACTGTGGTGAAGGATAGGAGGCCATCTTTTCATATCTACTGTATATCAACAAGATGATTCTTTGCATAGATGGACACTTTTTTTTTTTTTGCAGCCATAATGTGGGCTCATAAAGAGACACAGAAATATTCCCAATTCCTAAATGGGGAAATAGTCCTATACACGTAGACATTTAGCCCAAATTGCAAACCATAGCTAATCTGCTAACGTTGGATTATGGATTTTTGCATATAATAGCAAATATTTGCTAATATTGAAAGGGATACATAAGTAAAAAAAAAAAAAAAAAAAAGACTAATTATAGAGAGCTGAACTAAGAACATATTTATATCAAGAAAGTTATTTGGTCTGATTATTTGTTCTTGACTAAAAGGGGACTGCTTTGTTTGGTGCAGTACACTTTCACTTTTACCTTTTTAGTTACCAATATTTTGTTGACAAAGCCACGTTTGTTAAGATCCTTTTCCTATTCAACAGAAGTGACCAGCGGATGACAGAACATGAACCTTTAAATGGAAGAAATCTGTTATTAATTGTCTTATAAGTAGGGATGGGAATCGATAACCGGTTCCTGTTCAGAACCGGTTCTGTGTGTTCCAATTCTATGGCACCGTTTGGCAGCTCGCTTAACGATTCTCTTAATGGTTCCAGGCAGGACCAGAGCCTAGCGCTGGGCAGCACGACTTACGTCACAAGTACAACAACAAAGTACAACAACAAGTACAACGTGACCAGAAGTAAGTCTAGAAAAGCAAAACAAAAGCGGTCAAAGTGATCAAAAGATTGGCTTCATTTTAAAGAAGAGAAAGATGGCAACAAGGCGCATTGCAATCATTGCAAAGTGGCAATCTACGGTAGGAAATACATCCAACATGCGCACACAACGTGGCATACATTTTAACGAATGCCGTGTTTTTGATGCTTCCGGATAGAAGCTAATGTTACGACCAGCAATGAAGGCAACTCTGGTAGTAAGTAGCTAGTTTTATATCACTGGCTCTGCTTAATGTGGTTCCTATTAAATTATACGCCACTTCTGGAAATAAACCAATTTCCTACCTCTCTTTGGGGTTATTAAACATGCTACGAAGTTGCTCTGCAGTTCAGGGAGCGAGAGAAAGGTGATGCTCATTTATTCAAATCAGGGAGAGATGAGTTTATTTCCCGAAATTGTACATTAATGCTTTTTCATTAAACTGATGCCTTCTCCATTAGATTTAGATGACTATGACGAGACCTTCTGTTTTCACAGAGGCAGGCAGGAATAGAATGTCCCAGGCAAAGGTAGACGAATGTCACCGTGCACTTACCAGAATCGATAAGAGAATGGATAAGGAATCGAATCCTTTCACAGAATCGATAATGCAATCGCAATCGTGAAAATCTTATCAATTCCCAACCCTACTTATAAGCGATATATTCAAAACAGATTTTTATGACATTGTTTACATTTTTTTTTATAAAGTCTACGAATGTGTTGAACAAGTCAAACTAGATATTGTGGCCCTCACTTTCTCTACATTCTACACTATGTTGGCTTGTTAAAGGTATAGTGGAGGATTTTTTAAAAGATTTTTTAAAAACCTGCTCCTGAGAGGCAACGCCTATTAAACGTGCATGCAGGAGCCCATTTCTGCTCGTGCACGCTCTGTTTAAAAGTTGCTGTTCTCATAGCTTATCCAAACATTCTGTGCCTGAATTTCCGCCCTAACTCCTAAATCCCTCAATCACTATGTGGAGCGGGGACTATATGGTAGACTTTACAGTGCATTCAGTTAACTGACCATTTGGACAGATGATCACTATTGTTTGCTCATCGTTGGTCACATAACTTCTCCTCCACTGCAACAGCGGGCCGCTGTGACAGATAATCCCATAATGCTTTGCGAGGAGAGCTCTTTGTGCAAAGCATTCCGGGATATATCTGCCTCTTCTGAGGCCTTTCTTTTCTTCTCATGCTCTTCATAGAAATTTTTCTCTTACAACCCTCAGCCATTTTCATAGAACCGTGGTTATAAAGGTTATAAAGGTGAGTTTCAATGACTGGTTGAAACCATAGTTCACCACATATCGACGCCTGAAAGTGCACATGGGCAGAAAACGATAGCTCTTACGTAAACATACCACTAGAACGATTGACAATTAGGAGGACCACTTATTCAGATGATACACTCAGAAACAAAAGATCATCCTCTATACCTTTAAGTCCAAAAAGATGTTCATGTTTTGTATAGTCTTTTCCGATCATGGCTTGAACAAACATCATCATCATCATCACCATGGGCAAACAACACCAGAGTCCATTTGGAAACAGACTGAAGTCATTTTCACATCTCATAATCTGGTAAATGCAGTTTGACTTGGTAGCAATTTTGCAGTTATCTTACTATTTTCTGCTGCTTTCTGCTTTTGGAGCAGCCCCTCATTTGGTGGAATTCACATGTGCTTTCAAACTACCCAGAGTTCACTTCAGCACAGCTGAGTTCTACATTGTAAGGCAAACCTCAGTTAGCTCTTTTGGTCTACATAAGGATTCAATTGCGCTTTAACAGCTACCAAAACAAGCCAAATCTCCTGAGCGAATAAACCAGAGGTCAATTAGCAGGGCTGATGTGCATCCTGAAAGCATCCCAAAAAATGGGTCTTGGTCCCACTGGTCTGGACTGGGCCCACCTGAATGTATCACATGCGCACAAAAGATCTGGACCAAGCAAGGAAATGTGGATCTAACAAGGCAGGTGTGAATTCATGCTGGGACACAAAGAAACAGTTAATAAAGGTAAATATTAACTTAAAGCACTGAACTAAATATACATAGTGAGAAAACAGACGAAATAAGTAAAATATAATCCTAAAGGAATTAGCAAATATCACAAAAACTCACGGAGTCATATAAACCACAAGGAAATTATGAAAACACAGATACAAAAGAACCTTAACACCTAAGGAATTCAAAATACAATTGAGCAGTTCTTCAAGTTATTTTTCTTTATTATCAAATCATCTATTTCTCTTAAACATCTTTTTAATTAACAAAATGTAACTGAATGTCGATTGTAGTTGTAGCTTTCCATTAAAAGCAGGAAGGGGCATCAGCTAAGTTACATTTACTGCCCTAAAGTATCAAATCTTCAGATACACTGAAGCAAAATTATGACCTTGGGAGGTTTATGACTCCTGCTGCAACAGTTGGCTGCAGAGCAGAAGGTACAGTAACAGTGTTTGTCTCCACTAACTGCCACTGATAAGTATCAGCTGAAGGTCTTACTCCTGCCTTATTCCCAAAGTGTGAGATTTAACATGTCAGCAGAGGGAACTGGATTGTTGACTCACCTCTTCTCCTCACCCCTTTCTCTCTTCTACAGTTGTAGTTCACACAGTAGCAATTTGTTTAGGGCATGCAGGTGTTATTTGCCATTTAGAGACTTGAGTAACTTACCTTCATGCTGTGAGGTTAAGAAAAGATAAACATGCACTCACAAAACACACAAGCACACACAGTATGGGAAATCAGTCTCAGGTTTTACGTAGCTTCTGTTTCAAGACAAAGACAGACAACAAAGCAAAGTCACTGACTGTGTTTGTTGTTTGTACACATTAAAAAGTGTTTAATGTCATTTTGTCAGCACTTAAAGAACAATGCCATTATCTGGTGTGTTGATTCTAGCAAAATGCAACGTCATTTATGTGTCAGATACAATGAGAGGTTTTCATGTCAACATAACTGTTGTCTTATAGAATATTATCTATGCTATTTAACTCTATTCATTTTTGTTTTGTAATGTTGGTAAAAAGGAATACATATAGTTAATTAGTTTTATTACCATCATGTTTATAATTTTGATAGTCTGATATCTGAGAGAGTTACCTTTTTTCAATTTTGGGTTCATAATGGTCTTAAGGTTTGTTTT